ATTCCTCAGCACCACATAAGCAAAAAGAAAAAAGCCGGAAGTGGCGCTGTGGCTCAAGTGGTAGAGCGCTCACCTTGAGCTGAAGAGCTGAGGGACAGGGCCCAAGCCCAGAGTTCAGGCCCCATGACCGGACCCAAAAAAATAAAAATAAAAGGGAAATGAAGAACAGATTCAGAGAAGTCAAAAGTAACTTTAAAATGCAGTCTTAGGAGAAAGCTATGAGAACGCTGAAAGACAAAAACTTTACATTCTTTTATCCCTTGCCTCAAAGCTTCCCAAGAGCCTCCTGTGTCAGGTGCGGTGTGCACACCTGAGAGCTGCTGGGGGAAAGTGAAGCAGAGCAGGAAAGGGAGGCGGCTACCGACCTGAGGTGACAAACTGTGATGAGAATGTGTGGGGGCTACCCCACGGGCCAAAGCTGAGCGGCCGGCCAGCGAAGAACCAAAGAACCTCTTTGTGAAGCTACCTGGTTGGCTTTTTGCTAAACTTACCTGATTTTAAATAAAACACATAAACTGCTACAAAAGGGGGGGAAAAAAAAGGAAGAGACTCCTAATAAAGGCAGAGACTCCGCTAGGACTTACCTCCCCTAATCAGTGTCCAGGCGAACAAACAGGAGAAGGCAGGAGAGGCTCAAAAGACTTGTGACACTAGGGTAGCAGGGCCAAGGGAGGTGAGAGAAGGGGCAACCTCTGCAGCCCAGTGTGCCCAGCTGAGTGCTCAAAGCCCAAGTCCAAAATCACATTAGGATCATCAAGCAGCAGCTTGTGGACCAAATTCCACGTTTTCTGGGAGTAAGCCATAACCATTAGATTTCACACTGTCTACGGTCTTTCCAAAATGGCAGTGCACAACAGTTGAGATTCCCCACAAAGCTGAAAGAAAGCATGGATTCTCCAGCTCTTTACAGAAGTTTGCTGATCCATGGATCACATTAAAAAGCAAGTACTACTGCTTGCAAGACTGGGGAACAATGCAAACTCTATCCCCTTTCTCAAAGGCTCTAAGAAGCCTGCACTGAAAGGTCTTTAGCTAAAGCTGGTTGCTGGTGGCTCACACTTGTAATCCTAGCTACTCGGGAGGATGAGATCGAAGACTCCTGATCATAGTTCAAAGCCAGACTGGGCAGAAAGGCCCTTGAGACATTTATTTTTTAGTCAGTAATGGATCTTGAACCGAGGGTCTGGGCACTGTCTCTGAGCTTTCACTCAAGGCTCTAGTGCTCTACCACTTTGAGCCACAGTATTATGGGGCTGGGAATATGGCTTAGTGGTACAGTGCTTGCTTAGCATGCATGAAAGCCCTGGGTTCGATTCCTCAGTACCACATAAACAGAAAAGGACAGAAGCGGCATTGTGGCTCAAATGGTAGAGCATTAGCCTTGAGCAAAAGAAGCTCAGGGACAGAGCCCAGGCTCTGAATTCAAGCCCCAGGACTGGCAAAAAAAAAAAAAAAGTGTTTCATGGACTTTCCTGCCCCAGCTGACTTTGAACCATAGTCATCAGATCTAGGCCTCCTGAGAGGCTAGGATTACAGATGTCCATGGGACTCTTATCTCCACTTAACCACCAGAAAACTGGAAGTAGAACTGTGGCTCAAAGTGTAGCCTTGAGTAAAGGAGCTCAGGGACAGCAACCAGGTCATGAGTTCAAGCCCCATAAACTGTCAAAAAAAAAAAAAAAGACCTTAGTTAGAAACAGCTGCATTGGAACACAAAGCCTTTTTGGAGAAATCCCTCTCAGCACGCCCTCTTGTTTCCTGGAATACATTCCAAGTGCTAGTTTGAGTAAGATACAAAGGTGTTCCCTCACCAGTATGACCCTGCGCCGCGCATGCATGCACACACACGCATACATCCTCTCCAGCTAAACTGGTAAGTTTTCCTCTTCTTTATTAACTCACAATAATGTACAGGCTCATCTTCAAAAAAGACATACTTTAGTCAATCCATTTTTAACTAACTTAAAACATATGAATTTCAAATATATGATGTAAAAATATAAAGTAAGCACTTACACAGCCCCAAATTAAAAGAGTACACTTAGAGATGGAAAAAGATAAAGGTATAAGAACACACACTAATAATCTAAGCATCAACTTCCACCTGTAGGATTAAGCCTCAGTCCCATTATAAAACATTCTCAATTATGTTTAAGAATTACAAAATCACTGGGCTCTAGGGGCTCATTCCTGCAATATTAGCTGCTGAGGAGACTGAGATCTAAGGACTGCTGTACAAAGCCAGCCTAGGCAAGAAAGTCCATAAGCCTCTCTTCTCTAATTAACGGGGGTGGGGATAGGGGGAGCCAAAAATGGAGTTGTGGCTCAAGTGGTATAGAGGTAGCCTTAATGAAAAAAGAAAACGTACCCAGGCTCTGAGTTCAAGCCTCAGGATCAACACACACATATGAAAAAAAGG